ATAATATTTATTTCTCAATAGCGTATTTTATTTAGCTATTATCTTAATGAGTTAGGCTGGCTACATTGGAATGCATTCTAAAGGACTGCTTTTAGTCTTATACTGTATATTCTTGCTATTTTATTCAGCTTAGTAGTTTTAGGTCGATTCTATTTTTTTCTTTGTTCTGTTATCCATTTAACCTTTGATGCCTTTAATTGAATTATCCTGCTACCTTTGCTCTGCTTTGTAGAGGTTTAAATTTTTTGAATTTGAAAGCTGTTATTTATAAGCAATTAATACCTCTTAGAATCAAATAACCAATATGCAAATCTTTCAAGTGCAAGCATAATTATCCAGAATTGCCAGAATATGGTACCAAATCAATTAGCCTGAAAACAGATATGTCCAAAAGACTAATCCAGGCTAGGATTCACATTCAGAAGGAATGGATATAGCACTAGTAATCCAAGTCAGCTGTATATAAAAAATATAATTTGTACACTAATGCAAACTTCTTGCTACAGCATTTGCCTAGATTAGAATACTATAACACCACCTGCTGGATATGGTGTATCCATACCTAAATAAGGTAAGGAAAGCAACAAGAGCACAGCTAAATATTTTTTCTGAATCCCTGACCATTGGGGGTAATTGCAATTTGGTTTGTGTAACTAAGTAAGTCTCAGCTGTGAGCATGAGGCATCATGATGTGTCTGTGTGAATGCTCTCTGCTTTGGGTCATGTGATAAGAAGTGGGAGTGCTCAGAATTGGAACAGCTGCCAGCAATCCAAGCTCCTGGCCAATTGCTTCTTCCCACAAATCTTTCTCTGTAGCACCTGGGCTGATTCAGCCCATTTGCAAATATCTTTGCCAGCTTCTCCCATACCAAATATGATCCTCTTGCGTTGAAGAGCTATTTTGCTGACAGACAGTCCTGAGTGCCTTTACATAATTTCTTCCCAAAATTCTGCTGAGTGGGGGGAAAAAAAATCGAGGCTGTTCTATAAACTACTATTAGTTCTGCAATCATTTTTTAGGGGTGTGCGGCTAGGAAATAAAGCTGTTCTCCCTGGCAGATACTGTACTAATTCAGAAAGGAATGCATGACAAACCAAGAGACGGAACTGGCAGATTTTACAGTTTAAAATGAAGTCATAAATTAATGTAAAGTTGCCAGATTTTTCTAGGATGGTTATTTTTTTCCCCTTTCTTACTCCTTTAATTATTCCCACCGTGCACATCCAGACATGATCCTTCAAATTATCCTTTATTCCTCTGACTTCCCTCAATTATAATTCACAATTTGTCAAAACCGTAGCATTCCATACCTCGAGCGATTCTTCATACAACAATTTATCTTTATTCACTGCCAATTTCTCAAGTGCTCTGCCTAAAGTTTTGTAAGAATAATTTTATTAGCCTTCCAGAACCATCATGGACTCGTATGTAAATTGAACATAAATTATGCCATGCTGCTAGCATACATAATGGCAGCTATAATCTGAATACTTCAGCATTCAGTAGCTAGTATTCACTATACTCTAGCTGGGTTAATATCATGGATATGCATGAAATGGAAACGTTTAATTTTTATTCAAAATTCAAACAACTGCATTCTGGGTTTGGTTCTCCAAATAGTTTGGCAGCCAGAAATTTTGGAAACTCCCAGAATTTCCAGCCTTTGGGTATATTGGTTTGAAATGTTGGGGGTCAAAGCCCCAGTACAATATTTCTTTAGAGCTGCAAATTGAGAAAAACTGGTCTAAGTTACAACCACCCACACAGTTTCTTTCAATAGTCATAATAAATAATAAAGTAAAATAGAACATAAAGCAGAGATGGCTGTCTCAGAGAAGTTTGGATTAATCTAAGAATTTTGGTGTTTGTGTGATGTAAACAAATGGTGATATCTTCTAAATTTTCTGAAACGTCTCATTTCTTGTACTCATTCCGAATATTTTTGTCTATTTAATGGCTGCAAAACTGTTAGTGACCAAAAGGTACATAACTTTAATTAGTAATGAAAGTAAAATAACTGCAGCAAATTTATAACTGAAATCTGCCAATATGTTTACTTTACAATTGTTCTGCAAAAGGAATTGACAATCCTGCTGAGGATTTCCTAGCATGCCACGGCAGAATCAGAGCAATCATCCGTTGTATGAATATGCTCTGAGACAGTTGTACGCCTTGGTCAATGTTTGTGAAACAGGTTATCCTGTTGACAGAGTACAGCTGACTATGGATCAAGTGTGCCTTGGATAACTATCCATTCCAGTAAAATCTACCTCCTTTCAATTGATAAATAACCATGGCATTAATCTGGAATAATCAACAAGGAATTAACCCAAAGCAAATTATATGTTACAAAGCAACAAGCCCATGTTACTTTAAGACAAGTGACTGGGTCCTACACTTTAAAGTTTTCATAGTATGCAGTGTTGTGATCCCACTCAGGTCTGTGTTTTACTCCAGGAGCTGCCTCTTGGCTTCCCTGGTTCTTCAGAGCCCTCCCAGTTGCCACCTGGATTCCTCTGTGTCAGCCTGGGATACTTTTATGAATGGGCTGACTTGCAGAAGCTCTTCTTTTGAATTGAAATATGTTTAGTTATTCCTTTCACAGAGGCATTGGGTGTCTCAACTATTTACAGGTGACCCAATAGATTTCTCAAAATTCCCTTTTGTGAATGTAATACTCTTGGTTTTTATAACTGTAGATCAGTGCTTTCATGATTTGAAGGATACATTATTAATTAAAAAGTTTACATTGCATGGCTCAAGAATAAAAAGCCATCAATCTCTCCCTCCCCATTAAAGCTGGGGGTGGAAATGTGCTACAATGCTTTAACATGATTCAGCTTCATTAAGGAACGAATCACGGTCTTCCATCAGGAGTGATGGAAGAATTACTTTTACAGCTTCTCCTAAGAGAGAATATATGGTGTTTGTTTTCAAGTCTGATGTGGTTTACAAAAGTTGATAGGAGACATTGCCGTATTTAGGGCAATCTTTGAATTAAAAAGAAGTTGATAAACCAAAAAAAAAAAGTCTCATGATACAGTCATGATGCTTATTATGGTGTAATATATAGATAGAGCTAAAGGTTATCCATGATGGCAAGTCTAAAAAGAAGGGACTGGGTGAAAAACGGATACATTTTCAATATAATTCTATAATCAACACCAAATGGGGTTTGGTATGAAGCACAAATACTGTATATTTGCTTAATAAAGCAGGTTTAAAATTTGAAAATAAAAATAATATTTTGTGAACTTAATATTGCAGTGCCTCCAAACAATTAACTTGTATTTTGTTTAAATGTCTTATTTAACATAATCCCACCGTAAGTTATTGTAATATGGAAAATGCCATGTCTTGAAAAGGGAGCTATTCAAACTTTGTGACCAGCTTCAGCTTTGTTTTAATTTTTCTGATGAAATCACCCATTTTTAGAAACAAATCACAATGATATAGCCCCATAAGTATATATTATCCCTCAGGCCTGTCAAACTGGTGGCCCATGGATCGGCCACACGCACCCCGGCACAGCACAGGCAAAAAAACGTGACTCAATCAAGTTTGACACTCATGCCATATAGTCTGGCTGTGAATGGCCCTGACTTACTTTACCATTTTAGATGTTATTCATTCTTCCAATTCAACATAGAAAAAAGTAAATAACTTGATATTTGGTTCTAAATCCAAAAGTTCTCATTGTTTTAAATTAAGGCCATTTAAACATTTCCATTCCTTAATAGACTTTAATATCTCCTGCAAAACTGTACAAAATATTTATTTCCATAAATAAATAAACATACAATTTCCATACAGTTTTTTTTTATGCGGGGAGGACATAGCACAGGGTATTATTTAATCACTGGCCAAAACTTGATTCAGAAAATTCCCTTTAAATAAAGCTGTCTGGGAAAGATAAAGATGAATACTATTAACAAAGGAGGAATAATTAACGCCCAAAGCTGATGTGATGCAAAACTGACAATTCATATGTGAAGATGCAATCATGCAAACATTATGGATACATACATATGACACAACTGCATAAGTTGCAGGTTTTGTGTGATTCCATCATTATGCCTGTGTCATTGTTTATCCATCTTGCCACCCCCAGAGTCACCACCCTAACAAAGTTTCAACACCAAAGAAAGTTTGGTAATGATATGCATTAGGGACCAAACAATAATGTGCACATAACAATAAAGAAAATCTGTGAATCCATTACCCAGTGGATTCTTTGTTAGCACATTTTGAGTATAAAAAGAACTTTTCTAATAATCATACTGATTTAAACCAGGTTGGTTTCTGATATATATGAATTTTGGATATTGCTCATGAATTTATCTTTTCATTCTATATTAACCCTCCACATATTAGCAAGACCAATCTTATCAGATTTATGTTTCATAATTCCAACTGGACAGCTTTGTGACACATAATGCAATAGAACAAATTTAATCATAAGAAAGCCAATATGGTCACAATTTGTTACAAATCCCACAACTGTTTGTCCAGCCCATTCCACTACTTCACATCCCTGGATAATTTGTTCAAAATGCAAAAACAAAATGCTGAAGTCTAACTATAATGTGGTTGCTTAGATTTTGTTTTGATATGTTTTATTAATTTAGTAATGGAAATTGTTAACTCAAGAGTTTATGGCTATTGTTTCTATGAACACAGCTACTTTTGGCTTATTCAATAAATTATGGTTGAACCACCATGACTAAATGGAATTAATGAACCTATTTATATTTTTAGGGATTGGTATGAAAAGTTTAATTGGATAGTTTGTCAAACTTTTGGTGTAGGCATCTCTGCCAATCCCTTTTCAACCACTCAGCTACTTCATATATCAATTTACCTCAAGCTAGACCCCTCTAATTGTGTTGTACTTCTATCTTCCCAATCTTGACATATCAAGCTAAGCCAAATATGTGAATCTAGCCTGAGTAGGAAAGACTATTGAAGAGCGTATAGCAAAGGCAAAAACTCAATTGACTTAAAAACACCGTCATCTTCAATAACAGCAATAACAGCAACAGATTATATGTATTTTGCACACAAAATTGCTTACCACTGCAGCATCTACTGATATATCCATGATATATTTTGAAGCAGAAGTTTTGCTGATAAAAGACAGTTGTGATCTTTTGCTACATAGTATGAGGAAGAAGAAGAAGAAATAAACCATTGGGGAATGGCCAGATTTCTGAGTTTTCTAGATCTAGGATCCAAGAAGATCCTAGGAACAACTAATGCCCCTCACTTTTGGCACAGAGGATCAAGGATGACAGTGAGGGCTCTCATAGCATTTAACTGATTAATTCTCTGGACTACAAGTGACTACAATTCTCTGGAACCATTTTCCTTGGAAAAAACAGAACCTGAGTTATTTCCACATAAGCTCTTCTCTTTCATTTTTTTTTTCTCCTGAATTCAAATGATTTGTCAAATTCATTGTTTTCCTAAGGTGACTCTCTTTTCGTTTTTTATTCAAGTTCTGATTTGCAGCAATAAAACAAAATTGTAGTTATCAAATGACCCAGAATAGTGTGAACAAGCAAAATGCTAATGGGAATTTATTACTCCCTTTTAAAGTTTCTCTCAATTGGTCCAATAACGCTACGAAGAATTAAAGAACCCCAGGCAAGAAAACTAATAAACCAAGGTCATTCCTACCAAGAGATATGGGCACTTGAGTGACTTTATGAGGAGGAAAAAGTTTCAGTGAAAATGGGCATAATCTTTAATACCAATCACTAGAGTCACTGCTCTGGGAAAAAAAGTCTATTTGAGTCTACTCAGATCAGAGTCGAGATACTGACATTTTCTATCTATGAATGAGGTTTTTTATTATTATTTAGACACGATAGGATGAAATTGCTTAGAATTTCTGCAATTGCAAAACATCTGAAAGATGTCAGGTTAAGAAAGAATGAAGTATCTCCTTTTAGAAGGTTGAAGTTTGCATGTTCTTGCCAGAAAATAATCCCATTTGCTTCATGGACTCATAAACTGAAGCACACATCTATTTGCTAATTTGTGAGTACACATTATGGAAGGACCATCGTATAATATACAGATGCTTATTGTCTGATCACACAGGTGGCACTGATGACTATTACAATTTTGTGCCAATTAAAGCACAAAACCATGTTAGGATCTAATATCAAATGTGTTTTTTCAACAGCCTCTACTTACGACATCAGAAGAAAACACATTAGGACTGTAGCTCCCATCACTTGTAATCTTGCTGGATGGGAATACCAAGTTATAATCCAACACATGTGAAGAACATCAGACTGGGGAAAACCCAAGTAACCGCATGTGTATTCGATTTTGTTTTTTGCTTTTTCCGCTTCAATTTACGTCTTCACCTGTTCCAGTTCTGACATTTAGTCCTTATTTTTGTTTTAAAACTTTACTCCTTCCACTCAGATTAAATTGCATGAGTCTGTAGCAGGAGACTTTGTGGATAAATGTCATCTTCCACAGGATTTAACGGACTGGTTTCTTTAAGCTAAGAATTTGAACTAGTTAAAATTGCCTAAGGTATTTAATGATAGCATGATTCATCCACTTGAGCAAAAATATTTCTCCTACAGGGGTCTTCGGCTCAAATTCATATAGCAGTTTCTTAATGGGTTTTTGTGACATACTGCAGTCTGATTAACATTGTGATAATTTGCAAGACTGCAGCACACTAAAACTAACCCATGGGCATAGGCTTAAAGGACCACATGCTTGTCTCAACAATTATCTCATAGTTCAAAATGCAAAATGGGTCAGGTTAGAAATTACCAACTGATGTTTATATCAAATAGATACAATATCCATCTTTCTTACACTCTCTCAGCCCCAAAAGATCATCTCATCACTGTGGTTATCTACTTTCCAAGAAAAGACCATAAATGGAAGTTTCTCTTGAAATACAAATTGCAGCTTTAGAGACACTTTTTTTTTAGCATATAGTGGACAGTCCTGTTCCCAATCCCAGATTCTAGAATCCTAAGGCTTCCAGAAATCCCTATTTACTTAATACTATTGTCAGATCTAATCTACCAGTTGTTCTAATTTACAAATACAGTCTTTTCAATGTTAATTGGTGCAACCCATAGAAAGAGGATCCTACCTTGGAGAAAGAGAGTAGATCTTGACCTTCTGGTCACATTGTTCAATACAACCTGAACTCTTGTACTCGATATGTGTTAGTCCTGGACAGGAAAAGTTGCCTTCCCTGCTGTTGACTGAATCAATGCCAGCTAAATATCTTATTCAAAACAGTTGGGGTGTGGGGTGTGTATTTGCGCTTAAAAAAAGGGCAGTTTAGCTTACAATACTTTTCTAGCCTAGGCTCTATCTGGGTGGCAGAAGGGATGGATTACACAGTGGAAAAAGTTTGGCGCATGCCTCGTGGTACATAGGAACATGGTTCCTTTTCAATGCAGTCTTTCCCCAGAAATTTAGATGACCACACATCTCTTTATCCGAAATAGCAGCCTACACCCAAATGTTTTTACTCTAATCTAAGCCTTCCTTTTAGGATTGCACACAGTAGCAGGCACTGTAGTTTGTTTGAGCCAGTCAGTCATTTAAAGGCAATTCCCCAGAGAGGCATGTTCTTCAGCTTCCATTTATGCAAGTCTTTCTATTTACACTAACTGCAAGCTCTGTTTTGGGCAGATGTGGGGGAAAGGATCAGCTGACAACTAAGGTTTCATTTCCTTCGTGCAGTGGTAGAGTTGCTGCCAGTATAACCACAGCATCTTCTCTTAAACAAGCTCCTTCTATGTAACTCTACTCAAATTATTTATACTACCTAGACTTTGTCCTAAAACATATCCAGAAAAATGAAGGAAGTGTATTATTCTAACTTCTTTTCAAAAATATTAAGATACTATATCACATTCTTCCATATGATTTCTGGCTCACAGCAAGTTGTGAGGACTTGTAACTCAATACAAAAGCTGACCAACAACATTTCAATACAGACATAACTGAGAAGTGAGGTACATTGCATTTCTCATCTATCTTTGGTCCCTTCTGCACTATGTCATCTTCCACTCACACAACTTAAGGAAGCGATCATAGTAGCACCCCTGTTTGAATGGCTTTTGTGAGCCTGATCCAAAGGATCAGGCACAGATTTTTACTGAAGGCATTGGGTAAAAAGAGGCAGCCCAATACCACACTTTTTGTTACCCTGAGATCAACCCAGTTATATTCCTTCAGTCAAATATTTTGTACATCTCATTGAACAAACAGAGAAGCAGAAAGAGTCTATTTTTGCACTCCCGACTCCTCTCTAGTATGTCTTTAATACACATTAATTCCCCTCTTCTTCTACACTGAATACTTGGCCATATCACTTTTGTCAAAAATAACTTTGGTTGCAAAGTAAATGGCTACCAATCCAAAGCCGGTAGCCGATGCCATATAAGTGGTGACTGATTGTGTGAACTGAACCAGCGAACCCATAAGAAGGGATGGGATAACCTGGGAAAGAAGAAAAGCACTGTCCAAGATGGCCAGATCTGAACAGATCCCTCGGCTTGCTGCTGCAGTGTCTGAATCTCCCACCATCATCATGAGCGAGACTTCACATGGTGAGCTGACACAGAGAGAAGAACCGGCAACAGGGGGAGAGTACAGGCTACCACCATGTCCATTCTGGTAGGTCAACTTCTGAGGAGAAATGTGGTTTTTGAGGAAACCCAGCTTCTTTTCTGATTGACCTGCATTCTCTTTACTTTTATACTTAGGCAAATATATCTGAAAGCACAAGAAAATAAAAGATGATAAGATGTTAGAAGACAATTCAGCAAAGACATAAAAACCATAGAATACGATATGAAATATATGATTAGCTGGAGCAGAGAAAAGTGAGGATGAAAGCTTTTAAATAGAGATCAACAGAAGAAACAAAGATAGCTGTTTTCTAGAAATTAAAAATGTTGTTCAAGCTATTTCACATGAATTGAGGATTCATTAAAAAAAAGAGCTCAAACCAGTTTGGTATTATTTACTATTTAGTTACCACTTAAGTTTATAAGTTTAAGTTTATTTACCATTTAAGTTTATGTAATGTCAACCTGGTCAAAGTGCTTTAGCCAACACAGAACAGTCACAAATTGATTCCAGAAAGATGACAGTCCTATAAGGACAGTACGATTCAAGGGCATGCATGAAATGCAACCGACTTACACGGCTTGTGCACTGGAAGCTTCAGACAGAGTTAGTCTTGCTGGCTCTCACAACACTGGAATGGCAGCTGTTATGAAGAAATCACTTCAGAAGAAAGAAGCAAAAAGGTAGAGGAAGCAGACATAAAGGACTGACAAAAAGCAAAGAAAAAAAGAGGAGGCTTAGGTAGGACTGTATCATCCTACAAAGGTCTACAAAGAAGATACAGTAGTCATTCAGTAGTCGTGCAGTTAGATAATGGGGAACAGCTGCTTTGGACATATCCTGATTGGGATGCAAAACTGGCAAAGACAAGCTAACCTAGTGACAGTTTTGAATAATATTTCAACAATAGAAGTTATGTATTTGTTTAAGAGTTTGATCAGAACAGCTATACTGCCAGTTTTCTGAAGATTTGAATAAACGCTCTAAATAAGGATCAACTTAACATGCCTCTTTGTTGCTCCAATATAAACATGTTGCAAAACATTTGTAGATCTCTAGGCCATACAAACCCTGGTCAAAGAAATCCAGGAATCCAACCCAATACATAAATGCATTGGCTAGCATGAACTTATCCTGCATGACTACTGTCAAGGCTAGTGGTGGTGAAGCCATTACGACTTGGGAGTTTGCATCAGGTGTCCCAGACTTATTGATTATGATACTGATAATTACAGCTATAAAAAATACAGGAGTTTGTACTATCAGAATTTCTGATGGTAATTTTCTCTTAGATTAATTGAAATTATCCACTCTTTCCTAGTTGTTTTGCTCTGCAACGTAGGTTTTAAGATTTGTGGCTAAGATACCAAGTCTACAAAAATCCATTGCTCATTAAAATGTCTATAAATGGGGAAAACAGGAGATCAAGTCAAGATATTATAGTACTTTATATAGTCAATAGCTTCATATGTCAATGGGCAAGAATCAATAAAACAGCAATCAAGTAAGGTACTGCTGACTGAATCTTTAGTATAACTAAGCAAATTTAGTCTTTGGCTGCTTTCAGCTGGATGGCTGGGAATATTAATAACCAAATTATTATGCAACCATTCCACCTTTTCCTTAACAGAGGAATGGTAGGAGAATCACATTTAGAAGATGACTCATGAATTCATCAGAAAAATTACCTAAGAGCCTTCTCTGGAACCGTTCTTATCTGCTAGTTTCTGCTTTCATACAAGATAGCTATGGGGAAAAGTGTATATGTGCCAAACTTCATATTAAAATTATATCCATTTGTTCCATGCTCTGAGTCATTTCAGGATGTTTCTCCTACCTGTTTCTCATGATGATAAAGTGATGCAAGTGTGTATGGAAGGATCTGAAGCACTGAGAAAGGGAAGCCAGTCAAGGCAGCAGAAACAGTGACAATGACAACACTTTGAGAGAAGCACATGATGAAGGCTGTCAATGGAAATAAAGCCACACTGGCTAAGTAGACCATTCGTGTCCCAAAGTGTTTCACCATCCGATCCATGATTGTTGAGAAGAAAATGGAGATGATACACTGGAGAAAGAGGCCCAGGCTACCCATCCGAATTCCTGAGAAGAAAGATATATATAGTGAAATAAAGAAGATGGACAGGTTAGCTAGAAAAAAGTCAAATTTCATAACGCCAAGTTTTGTTAGCTGTCTGGACAACAATGATCTATCTGTTGTAGTACAGTTTATGAAATTAAAAAATGAATAGGAGGAATGTATTAAATGTGTTATTATTCATATGTCAGAAGTGAAATCTGTCCTGAGGTGTCTTACACAGAGTGACAACCCTCAAATATAGCTCAGCCTTAAATATTTTCAGAACTTTTCCCAGCTGTTAATTTGAGCAGTTAACTGAGGCCAAGAAGTTAACTTGTACCTGCAAATGACAAATATTGCTCACATTTCATTTATATTGAAAATTATGTTTAAATCAGTGCCACATTGCAGTTCCTTGTGAACTTTTCTTCATGCATCTCTAAAAGATAATTATACATGGGTCACAGATCCAAGATGAGGCAATTACTGAACAGTATTGTGTACACTTCATTAATAAATGTTAAATATTAGTTAAACTGAAACGGAGTCACTCAGACCTTGGAACAATATGCTATATTGGAACAAAAGGCAATTCAGAGATCAAATGGCTTTAAGAGGAGACATTCAAAAAAAGCTACCATCTGGATAGTTTTTCATGTTAAGACAGAGATGAGAGAACAGGTCAAATACAGATTTTATCCTTTTGCAACAAGAGGGGGATCTGCACATTTGATTTAGTGCAGGACAAATATCTAAAATAATATTTTACCAATTTAATTAACAAAAAGTAGTTTGCTCACAGGCCATCATACATTAATCAATGAATCAGAAAAGTCAGGTATTAACTACTTTAGCAATGAGGGGACATATTTCCATAAAAGAATAAAATATATGTTGATGTCATGTGCATGAATAGTAATGAGTTTCTTGCTACTTCTCCTCAAAGAAGTTCAAGGAAAAGGAAAAATTTATAACAAATGACAAAGACAGGTTTATATAAGTGCTCTAATTGCATCAACTATCAAACATTTAATGAAAATGGATTTTCTAATTACATAATTTTAAAAACTTTCAATTCTGTAATCTGCTTCAAGAGTATAAGCAAAAGGACTCTCGCACACTTCATACCTTCATCATAGTTTCTCCTGGCCTCTGTCCCAGGTTTAGCCCTGGGGATGCCTTGGTATAATCCTTCCCCAACAAAGTCTGTGTAGAACAACATGAATGTCATGAGGGCCATCCAGCTGCAGAATTCCGCCACAAAAAGCTTTTGGATTACCTTGGGAATACGACAGCAAACTCCATGCAGACGTGGGGCCAAGGCACAAAGATTCCTAAAGGCCTGAACCAGATGCCTGGTCCTCAAAAAGTTCTTTGGACGCCAAAAAGAACAGCAGGCAAATGATGGGGACTTGGAAGAAGACTTTCCTGTAGGGCCTGAGCTGAGCTCTACTTGAGCTGACACCTCCTCTGTCACAAAGACAGTTGCTAAGACACAGCCAAGGAAGATGATGATGAGGAGGCTGAAGAGACATTCCTCCTGACCCCCTAAATAAGGAGCAAGGAAGCTACTGTCCCAGTCAATAGCTGGGAGCAAGTACCCTACACAGCCACCCAGACTAACCATGAAAGAGTACACAGAGAAGGCCTGTCGGCAGCTGTCAGGCTCTTGGAACAGGTCCGACAGAAGAGCTTCCAAGGGGGTGAAGCAGACCTGACCACAGAAGTCAAGAAGGCCAACCCCCAGGATAAGGAAAGCCAGCTCCAGTGCACGGGTATCCAAGGCAACAAGTCTGGCCAGATGGTGAGCATGTGGAATGATGAGAAGGCTCAGGAAAACACCTAGGCATAGGACCCAGATGAAAGGCCTTCGTCGACCATAGCTACTGTGCCAATGGTCACTGGCAGAGCCAAGCAGTGGTACAAACACTAGACCCAGAACTGGTCCAATTCCTAGAAAATAAGAAGGGGAGAGAAATGATTATTTGAGGCGAGGGGATTATATAGGGCAGTAGCTGGAAATAAAAGCTCACAAAACAAAAATTGCAACATCAGATAATCCATCTCCAGATCTCCAAATCCTAAGGGGAAAACCAGACTTTCTAAGGAGATATGAACAACTGCTAGAGGGTCTTTGAGCATCCCCTCACCCATTTTCCAAAATGGAGTATGTGTGTGTACCCATGTGACTTCAACGGATAAGGACAAGGGTGAACAAGTTAGCAACAGAAGTCATATTCAAAGGTAAGGAAAGCCATGATACAAAAGTAGGAAAGTCATCCTATGTGACAAGGAGAATCATCTTGAAACATCTTGTAAAATGCAGAGCTTCACATCCCCTAGACCTTTTTTAAAAAAAAAAAATACAAAAAAATACATGCTGCCAATATTTGGTAATGCAAACATGAGAACAATGTAGGGGCATATGTGGTTTGCAGGCTTTAGGTTGCCCATATCTGGATTAGATTACACCTAGTATATTGTTTAGTATAAAATAACAATTACATTATCTTTTCTTCTTACATCCTAATCCATAATATGCCAGTTCACTTTACATACCAACATGTACAACACTATTTTTGCAGCCTGAATATTATTCAGTTGGCAACCTGCAGCCCTAAGGCCTTGATTGATGGACAGATAAACATGCACACCCACTTATCCACATACAGAACTATCAATCTATCAGTCTATCAAATCTAGCATGGACAGTCTCCCAGCAAAGAAGAAAAGAAGCCACATACCTAGAACCATTGTCATAAACTTCTCTTCCACTCCTATTTCCAACAAGAGGGGTGGCACATATGTGACACCTGCAGCAAGGCAGACCTCCAGGCCAAAAGTCAAGGAGTTGATCAGCAAAAGCTGGACTCTGCGATTCTGGAACACCATGCTGAGCCAGGCCCTCTGAGCCAGGCCACCCATGCACCTCATCATCCCAGAGTCGCCTCAGCCCACAGCATGCTCCTTAGGGGGATTGAGAACAGGAGTTCAGAGTCCTGAGTTTTCTTTTGTAGCTGAATGGCAAAACATCAGTAGCCATGTTATATCCAGCAGTGAAGATCTGTTTGTTGCCCACTTGGGTCCAAGCTGAGGATGGCAAGATGAGTAGTCTTAAGTGCTTATCATGCTTCACTTTCCCTATGAGAATAGTGAAAATTAAAAATAATACATATCAGCATTGAATTTCCTTAAGTTGAGGCATTTACTAATAGCAATGTAACCCACGTAAAAGCTCCCCTGCAAATGAATTGTTCCCCGCGTTTTGCAGGGAACACACAGGGCAGCTACTCCTTAAACACCAACCCTCCCCATGATGTAACTTAAAGCCGTAGCTTTATCATTCATAACTGAATAACAATCGTATTGTGCCTAGCTTAGGACTGAAGAAATCAAGATTCCATGATTCCACACTGCCTTTGCATCCGTTTCTCTCTTCCCCCAAAACTGCACCAAATATCACACCACATTCCACCACTTGGAAACATGAAAGATAAACTCAACTGGTGATTCTGTAGCTTACAGTCATACTCCCTCAATCCAACTTTCCCCTCAGGATTGTTGTTGTGGGGGATAATAAGTGGCATTATATATGCCACCTTGAGCTAGGACAGAAATCTAATTAATAATAAAAGGTGTAGTGAACACATCCATATAAATGCTACATAACCCAGAACTTGCCCAACCCTTCCTAAAACAATTGTGAAATGCAGCCCGGGATCACCAAATGATTTCTTAGCCCTGGACTTTTTAATTGCTGGCTCTTTTTTCTTGTTTAGCTATGCAAATAAAGCAGTTTAAACTAGCTCAGTTCCGTGATTTCGCCAAACAAGTTTCAGAGCTGCACTTTGGGAGGATGTTAAGAGTTGTGTTTCAAATACTTAAGTTCTGACAACTTCATAGAACTAAAATAGAACTCTTAATTTGCAGTAATTATAGCAATAAATAACACTTTGACCTATATACTGCTTTATAGTGCTTTACAGCCCTCTCAAAGCGGTTTACAGTGTCAGCATATCGCCTCCAATAATCTGGGTCCTCATTTTAACAACTTTGGAAGGATGGAAGGCTGAGTCAACCTTGAGCCTGGTGAGACTCAAACTGGTGAACTGCTGGCAGCCAGCAGTCAGCAGAGGTAGCCTGCAGTACTGCATTCTAACCACTGTGCCACTACGGCTCATATTTATGCTTACAAGTCCTTTCTTAACTTGCCTATTTATCTATTATAAACACAGGTAGTCCTCAACTTACAACAGTTCATTTAGTGACCGTTTGAACGGTTACAACGGCACTGAAAAAAGTGACTTATTTTTCACACTTATCGTTACAGCACCCTCACGGTCACATGATTTACACTCAAATCAGGGGTGGGATTCTACCAGTTCACACCTATTCACTAGAACCGGTTGTTAACATTCTAAGCAGTTCGGAGAACCGGTTGTTAGAAGAAATTACTGGCCTAATCCTGTAAGGAAGGAAGGAAGGAAACATTCTGGTGTTGCTTACAGAAACTGCCTCTCCGTTAACCCTTATTACATTCTTGGCAGGACTAGATTTCCTGTCTCTGGAACTTCTCTGGAGTTTTTTTCCCCTCCTTTGCTGGTACTTTGCTTGTGTGGAGTGACCGTTCAAAGTTACAATGGCACTGAAAAAAGTGAGTTATGACCATTTTTCACACGTACGACTGTTGCAGCATCCCCACAGTCATGAAATGCCAAGCGAGGAGATGCGTGCCTCAATGTGAGTGATATTGAGTTGGCCACACCCAGCCAATAACATGACCACCAAGCCATGTCCACCCAGTCACATGACCACCAAGCCACGCCCACCAACTAAGCTATGCCCACAGAACCGGTTGTTAAAAATTTGAATCCCACCACTGACTCAAATGCTTGATGTGGTTCATATTTATGACGGTTGCAATGTCCTAGATTCATGTGATCCCCTTGTGCGACCTTCTGGCAAACAAAGTCAATGTGGAAGCCAGTGTTACCAACTGCAATGATTCACTTAACAAACATGGCAAGAAAAGTCATAAAATGGGGCAAAACTCACTTAGCTACATAAATTTTGGACTCAACTGTGGTCAAAAGTTGAGGACTACCTATATAGTCCAACAGCTGCAAATTTTATATGGTACATTAAAGGAGTATTTCAGTAAATGAACAGGAAACAAAATGACAAATGGGCTTCAATGGAAATAAGTACTGAAATGAAACTCTCTCAGTGAAGGAGAGATCTGAACCAGTTGTAAGTAATCAGGGTTAGATTAGGGTTAGAGTTCAGGTTGTGAAGATGCCACAACTAAGCCAAAAAAATGGATGAAACATGATTGTCAATATCCTAATGCATTTAGACAATTGATGGTATGGTTATAAATGCATACTTAAGAGCAAGTCTTGTCACAGCTCAAAAAGAATAACGTAGCACCCTGCCAGAAAGGCCAATCGGAAGAAGAAACATTATAGTGTTTAGCTCTCTGGATTTGGAACAAAGAAAGTGGAAGAGATAATAAAGAGTATGAAATGTACAATGTATAAAGAAAGTGAATCTTCTGATCATGTAGAAACCCAGTATAATGAACTCAAACAGCAGGAGATTCAAGGCAGATGGGAAATCAGAGGAAAAGCTTTGCACAGTGAACCTACATAATTTGTAACAATAGGAGATAACCAACAGGATAAATTGTTTAAAAGGGCAAGAAAATGAATTCTTGGAGGAAATGTCTAGCATAGGCTTTTGGGCATAATGACTACATACCACCTCCAAGCTGCATATGCCACTTAGGCTTTTCAGAAGCTTCTAACCAGCTATTCCAGGATGGCAACTTGGTTAAATGTTTCATCAGATTCAGTACAGCGCTTAAGCTCTAAACTCACCTGACAATTATATTCACTGGCTGTGGATCCAAGTAAAAGCACATAGAATTTGCACTCATAGAAACAACAGGAATGAGACATGCAAAGATAAGAGAGAGCTGAAATGTTATTCTAGTAAATAAATATTTTGGGGAGAAAAAACCTGACAGTTGTTTTTGTAATACAACTGTTTAAATTATCATTTACATTTGCTAAATAGAAAATCTGGGCTAGAAACTGAGAGAAAAATACAGATTATTAAGAAGAATTAAAGATATTAACAAATGCACTGTATGAAGGAGGAATTTTTTTTTGTACTAATATGTTATTCAGAAAAGAAGGAATAAATTCTAAGCAGCTATAGCTGAAGGGTATGAGGGAATTACCTTAGGAGACAGGAGGAAAGCCTAATCTGACATCAGATAAGAGGCAGCTACCATAGGTTGGAAGCAGGAATGGGGGCATGGAAAATGTCTCAGAAAAGACCCTCCCTACTTTCTTGGATTGTAAAAGTGAGACAGGAGAGACCCCTGCAGACTGGCAAGATTCTGCTAATGTAACCTTACAATAAAGACTGGGTGATTATTCCTGGATATACTTCTTGTTTGGGCTGGTCCACAAAGATAACACATTGTTAAGAATGATTAAGTTCTTAATCATTGTTAAGAATGACTACTATATTTTCTGAGGAAAAATCTGACAGTGGAGATATTGAAGGGCAGTTAAGTAATCAATATAGTAACTTCATGCCCGAGTTACTATATTGATTACTTAACTGCCCTTCAATATCTCCACTGTCAGATTTTTCCTCAGAAAATGTATTAGCAAAGGAAAGAAGGTATATATCTCTTTGAGTTGGAATTACAAGAAATATTCCTTTGGTAAACCATAGTTTAAAATCTTAACAAAACAGACCAGTAGATGGCTCTATTGCCTCCAAGACTTTGCATTACTTCTATCACAGCACTGAAAATATATTCTACCAATGTCCCCTTAACAAGATTAATATGCGATTCTCTACAATGAATTTTCCTTTTTCTTTCTTGGGAACGTATTTTTGCTAAGACACACCCAATAATCAAAAATGGCATCATGCAGAACTTCCTCTTTTAAACAATCCTAAAATTTACAGTAAAGTCACAGTACATTTTCCAGGTAATATTACTTAAAAAGAGGCAGGGCTAAATTATTAAACTTGTTTTTAAAAATCAGGATTTTGAAACAATGAATGGGACACATTCCAGGTAAACATATTTGCAGTTTTCAAATTGTAAAATATTAATGCATGCACAAACTGCCTTATCTATATATGTAAGGAGTTTTCCCTCTCATTGCATGCTTCCCACCAATAACTTAACATCCTTATATAAAGTTTGCTTATCAAGACTGGAAATTATGTTAGATCTGCCACTGTAAACAAATTATATTCTTCAGCTATCAAGGAAATTATTTATATTTAAGTAATTCACACAAATTCCATACTTCTGTAATATCTGAGATCCAAATAAATACAAAAGCTAACTCAGGGAAGGCCATTTATCTTTCATTTCACTGCCTGAAATTAATGTAATTTAAAAGAAAGCTTGGTCAGTCTTTCCCAAAAACGCAATTATGGTGTTTAAAGAGGAGCTACTCTCTCAAGAGTTGAGAAGTTCATGGGGCCATCATCTTCATTTTCAACATAATCCATACAGATATTTACATGCCTTTCCTCCCTTAAACAATTCAACCCAAACCCATCATGGTTTTAACAAGTATGTGTACTGCATTACTTCAGCAGAAACAGATCATAAAAAATATAAAGAGAAAGGTGTGCAAACCATGTACTAAACAAAATTAGCATGTGCCAGTTTGAGGAGAGAGACCACATAAAATGCCCTTTATCTCTTCATATTACACAACAGAGATATTATTACACTGGTTAGAATGGAAAAATGCTCATACTGCTGTCTTCTAAGAGGAAAGGGGAAATGGAAAAGATAAAATGTGAACAGATATTGAAAAAACATCTCCAGATGAACAAATTTTCCCTAGCTTTAAATATAGGCTTGTTATATTAGTAAAATAATAAATAAATAA